TCAATACATGTAACTCTTCCATCAAATCTCGACGTTCATTTCACCTTGATTTGTTTGACGTCCGCGCTCTGGGTCATATCAACCATCAGGCATCCATAGCTCTCACTTTTCATTCCCATGGTATTTATGTGTGTTGTAGCTCTGAAGTCTTCGTCCCTTGTCTGAATGGACGCTTGATTCCCAATCAGAACCCGTAGTCGCTGCCCCCCCCCCCACAGGACAGAGAAGACCGGATCGGACGAGCAGAGCAACAGGGATATATTAGCGATTCACACCGTTCATTTTAAAGGTGAAATGGAAAGTCCTTGCATGGTATTTAAAGCGCGCGTGGAAAGCTCTGTAAAGGTCAACTTACAGCTAATAAAGGAACGCAGCTCTCGCGTTATTTGGCCGCCTCTCCGGTTGGCTCTCTGTCCCCCCCCCATCAGGGCGGGTGAGTTTGAATCGCCTGCCGCGGCAATGGGGTCCTGGCTTGTTTGCATCGCGTATTCCTTCCTAACAAGGTCCATGACAGGTGGGCGAGAAAGTTGATTGCCAGCGCGCACGTGTTCGCCACGACGCGTGCTTGGGACCGACCCCGCGACCGTGTTGCCAAGGCATGACTGGAAGCTGATGAAATCGCGCGTCAACCATCATGTACATTGCCATGCCTCGGAAAGGCGGATGAAGGCTGGCATGCCCGAGCAAGACGGTGAACTGGCCGGATGGAGCGACCAGTCAAGTGTGGAGCGTGGGCGTACGAGGATGACAGGTAGCCAAATCGACCAGACGGTGTTTAGACCGGCCTGTAAATATGAGCGTTCTCTGATCGAATACGACTCTGGTCGGCTGAGTCTTCTTCTGTCTTTCTTCCTGTCGGGTTTGTCAAGGCGTCAAGCAGTGCAGACCTTAGGGCGCAGATTTACCAACAGGCGTGAATCAACCGGTCGATTGCTGGGTACAGCGTTATAACACTCCGAAACACTGAAACCTGATAACAGCGTCTTGTGGAATCTTCGACTCATTAGTTCTGAGTCTGACGATAATGACTGCACTATCCGCATCTATTGGCTCAAGGTGTTTACGGTGTTGGTATCGCCCTCAGTAAACGTGCTGAAGTAGTCTACGCGACTGGATACCGGTGAACTGCTGCGTGTGTGCGGTTCAACTTCGAACTTATATTGTGGTTAATGTGCTGTATCTGAATACGACGTGCCTTTTCATCGCTTTCGTTTACGCCCCCGCTGACGTCAGTTCTGAAGGCATCAAAGACGGTCTTTATTGGGAACCCATCTCTTCATCGCATAGCGAAAACTACTTGCATCATGATTGTTGCTGGTGACATGAATGCCCAATTTGGTGGACTTTCAGTCTCTAAACATCACCTGGGAGGCTGCTTCGTGGTCGAATCACGTCGACCAGACATCAGCGATCGATTCCTGAAACTGTGCCGACCATAATCTTTATACTGACAGCACTGCTTTTCAGCATCAACGCTCACATTGTATTACCTGACGCCTACTGAATTCCTCGATGACCTTGACCGAAACTGACCATATTGCCATCAGCCACAGATGGTGCACATCAGTCCATGACTGTCGGTCAATTTGGAGCATATGCTTGGTTTCTTTCTATGCTTTAATGCGCACACGCATAGCGCTCACTCTTCCTGCTTCAACAAAGTTCTCTAAAACCTCCTACTTGTTTCTTGAACTAGCAGTCCCCAGTTCACCAATATCATGAACTGACCCCTCAATTGTCACTGGTAAATGAATTTAGTGAGTCGAACGCTGACTGGGATCGTCTTAACTGTGTCTTGAAGGATGCTTTCGACGGCTGCTGTACGCACACCTTGAGACTTCGTAACTGTGAATGGATCTCTAAGGCACTGGTGAGTTTGCTCGAAACGCAAATGGACTTCGTTGGTTACCAAGTTTCATTGATACGACGACTGATAAGGTGCCTTAAAATTGACCGGGAACCTTGGTGGGTGGCAAGAGCCCTGAGATGGCGGAAGCCTATGTTATTGGGAACATTTTCAAGTGTGGTTCAGCTGGATGTCCGCGACACCGTCATTTGCTAAACCACAGAGCGGACAGGGGAACTTGGTAGCACACATCCCACTATGGAAGAGATTCAACATGAGGTTGCGGTGTTGCAGTGAAGCAAGGTCGCTGATCCCGACGACCGTCCTTAATCTTTGTTGAAAGGCAGAAATGATTCTTTGTTGGCTGGGTATGCTGCTCTATTCAACATCATTTAGAACAGCGAAGAGGTGTTTTCAGATTGCCGACTGTCGATTGCTGTACCCATCCTCATGAAGCTTCAGCAGATCTATGCGAAAACCAACGAGACATTAGCTATCTTTCTATTGCATCCAAACATCTCACGGGTATCACTTTTCTACACCTTACTGGTCTTCCTGAGAGCCGAATAATTAGAAGCCAGAATGACTTTCACCTTGGTCATGGTTTAATCAACCACATATTTAATCTTTATCAACTGTTAGAACAGATAAACTTACAGAGGAACAACTATATGATTTCCTTTGATCTAAAAGCCTCTTTAGATTCTGTCGATCGAGGCAGATTGTGGCACTGTTTGTCCTTGAAGAGCGTGCCAACAAACCTTTTTCCATTTTTAGTCTTCCTACCGTTACTCTCGTGCCTGGGAAATGGTCTACGAAAAGCTCTTCCCTGAATTCGCCCCGACAAGCGGGATTCGCTAGAATTGTCCCATATCTCCTTTCCTCTACATTCCTTCAGGGTCTTTCTGAGTGGAATTACTACCAGGTCGCCGATTGGCAAACTTTGAGTATGGAGACCACATAGATGTTTCGGGGTCTGACGCAATGGCTATACAAACACTACTGATTAGACTGACCTGTAACTTTGCGCGCTTCGGCTTTGTGCTTTGCGTCTTCAAAGTGCTAAATACTGTTGAAGAACCAGCCCGATATGCTACCAGTTTTGGCTATCACCGAACAGCCACTGGACGTCGGGGATCGGTTGACTCAGCTTGGAAGCTGTGTCACCCCCGGTGGTCACGTCACTGAGGAAGTTACTTCGCTTATCAGAAAACCCAATGTGGCCTTTCACAGCCACAACCATCTATATATCCGGTGGGCTATCAGCCTGTCAGTGGAAGATTGGGTGTGTAACGCTGCGATAAGGCTGGTGTTCCTGTATGGATCAGAGATCTGGCCAGTTCACAGCGAAGACATTCAATGTTTGGCCGTGCTTGCGGAGTATTGCCCACATTTGGTGGGAACACACAGTGACCATGCTGAGGTCCAACAGTTGGTATTTGACAAAAAAGATTCTGGTGTCTCACTTGAGTGTTTGCTGAAGTTTACTTGCTTACGTTGGGTAAGTCATGTCTTTCGCGTGCTCGTTGGAGACCCCATCGGACTTTCAGCAGTTGCGCTGTCAGTGGCGTTCTTGCATTCAGTTTTGTGCACCAATCCGTTACTTTTCCATCCCGAATAGTTCAATGAACTTATTTTCTGCTTCCATTTTCTTCATATCCTATTTCCGTTCAATTTCGTTTTCCCTTATGCTTTTACTTTTTGTTATTCTCGCGAAATAAGTCATGGTAACTGGATCCGTCGCATTTTGGTGCGCGGATCATACTTGTTCAGCTGAACTGTATTGACTTTTTGAGCCAATGGCACGCACCGTGTACCTTTTAGCTTCCTGAAAGTTTGTCGCTGAGCCTTTAAGTTCATCATTTAACTTCTCATGTATCTTCTTATCCGTTTCCTCGGATAATTTGGACAGAGACGACTTCACGCTTTCATGACCGAAATTGTCAACTCTTAAGTGATTACCCACTGTCGTTCGCTTCTTGTTATTCGGGAAGCTCGGTCACTGGTATATGCTTCCCCGCATCATTGCGTCTTGCGTTTGACTTTTCCGGAATAAATCCACGGTAGAAGCACATTAGGAGTTGCATGTCAGCGTACCATGGCTAGACGCCAAAGGAATGGGTCAAGTTAGCTGACGCTTTGGTGGTTGGAGGCCAATTTAGTATTGTGCAGGTCAGACCGTTTGGGTTCGTTGGTTATCATAATTTTCCTCAAATTATGGTAAGAACAGTAGTAACGCTGATAACAGTCCGGATTGACCAGAATCTCTCACAACTAGATCCAGTTTCCTAGCCATCACACATCCGGGATAGCATTGAATGGTCATTTCGCTTTTTCGGTTCCCGTCCCACTGAGAGTTTCGCAATGGTGACTTATATGTGTTTGCTGACCTAGGCTTCAGTCTCTGTGCTGCAACAGATGTCGGTAGCTTACTTGACTGAAACATGGCCTCCATACATGTGTAGGCTGTTACTACCTACAGACAGCACAGTAATCTCCCTTCGTGCAAATGATTCGCACCTACAGTATCTATGAGCGAGGCGGTCGTCACTTGTTTTCCGAATTGATACAGCTGCCTGGTTACTTCTGTTTAAGCTACTTTACGCACTCTGATGGCTGAACATTTCTGGATCTCGAACATTGTCGGAGATTTTCCATTGTAGTCTGCTGATGGCGCATAATCCCGCTTGTTATGTCTGCTTCTGTGACCATCTGTAGTCCTTGCGCTTTCCAACGTCTTCCTATTTAACTTCTCTCGTTTCACACTCCTTTGTACACCGTCCAATTGAACTTCCACAGTAGTCTTTCCATTCTTCGATCCACCTTCCGCACCGCTTCCTAGATGGGGCGTCGATTAGATGTAAACGCGTCCCAATTTGCAATGGAAGAGTCGTCACACCCCAGTGATTAGTTGGTTGTCACATCAACATGATTAGCGGTTCACGTGTTTCTTCTTGTTTCCCTATGTTATCTTTGTACGCACTTCTCATATCAGTCTGCCATGCATTTCCCATCTTAGAGATAACCGCAGATGTATTTCATTTTCTTCCTGTCCGACCAGTTCTTTCTTCTACTCAGCGAAGCTCTCTCCTTACTTGATGTAATTCGTGTTCTCAATCAACTTAGTCTGCTATCACATCCTCCTTTCTTTCAGCTTCGAAGCAACAGGTTGAGCACGATTTGGATTCATTCAATGGTATGTTGCTTTTTTGGTTTCATGCCTTTCGATCTTATCTCTGTATCCGAATTACAACTTCTCGGTCTTACAAACGGCGACTTCCCTTTGTTTGTTAGTCTACCATCGGTATTGGCTCGCATTCCGGCTGTGAATCAGTTGATTCACTATCCCGTTGCATATTCGAGGCATCGTGCACGATTCTCCTGAGTTTTTACGTCGACTGAACCCGCGCACGTCAAATTCCAGCGTGGAATATTATCGGTTGACCCAATTAATCTAATAAATTGGCTCCCTCAGCTCAACTCACTTGCTGGAGAATAATCTTTTTGCTCTGTCACATGTTTCCCGCTTTCTAATTTTTGATTCTTCCTGCATGTACACTACTCTGCTTTGACTGATTCTACTCTACTGTTTTACAGAGACACTTCAACAAGTTGTCAATCGTTACATTCCATCTAAAGCGTTTCCCTTGGTTCAACAGCCTCTCACCCGGATCCACCACACTTTGGACACATTGGTCAAGGTACTTAAATTTCCTTTGTTAGCCATTATTCACTCTATGAAGTTTGAGTTTACGTGTCTACTATGCTTTTTTGGGTTTTACCTCTCATCTTTATCCGATCTTACTTAATGGGTCTCAATTTATATCCTGTTGGGACTTATACCTCTCATTCGAAAGCGTTCCTTTGTTATCGTCCGTTCACTGGCCTGCTCCTTACTGCAGTCCAGTTTGTCCTGTGACGCATTAGTTTTTGGTCTCTTTGATCCACTGCAAATACATGATTTATGTAAGAAACGACAATGTTTAGTTGAGTCACCATCTGCATGGAATGGCTTGTTATCTACCTGTTCCGTTGTGTTTTTGTCTGGTCTTTCACGACACTCACTGAAGAGCATCCGGTACGTAAATTAGGCTGGTTAGCTTACCATGCTACGTCTCTAACTTCTGTTGAGATATCAGCAGTACGCCGGTACGTCGCTTCACTGCGACGCCACCACCACTGCTCGCTCTGCTGGCTAGCAAATTCATGGTCGCCCGCTCCTACGCTGATTCTAACCTTTGACACAAACTATACCATTGGGCCACCGGGCAACACCTGCTACTGACCGTCGGCATGACTGTCTTCCCTAAGGTTTTGTAGTGCGCTTCTGCTTGCCGCCTTCGTCGAGCGCCACTTCCACGAATCTTCTCCTTTCACTTGTGTCTGTGATATCCGGACACTCACTTTGTGTTTGCCCATTCGGTGTGGTACGTTGTTGGTCTGTTCACATCCGATTTATCCACCTCTGCCTTAGTGTTTGCTCTTGGTGCTGTGGCACGTTATTTTGGCTCACAGTAGTACTAACGATAAATGCGGATTGCTTTCACCAATTCTCCTCCAACCTTTCCCGCTAAAGAAGTAAGTTACTATCAACTGTTTCCGTTATTTGGTGGTTTGTCGGCTTGGCTCCGATGTGGCAAGCGACGCTTCACCATATGCTCTCTCAAAAATAAAGGATACAGTCTGATGACACAAACATTAGTTCACCACGGACTCCTCGGGGGCAGCGCTCCAAGTAGCATCTGTAATCGATGATGGTACGCAGTTTATCCGGGAACACAGCAAACGCCAATATGACCTAACTTTATGGGCAGTTTTTTCTTTCCATTTGTTCGTTTTATAATCTTTCAACTGAAGCTCGCTTCGTCAAACGTAACTCTGGCCATCGATGCACACTTCGGATGATCGGGCATCACGCCTGCTAGTGAATAGTGTGCCTTGAGGTGGTGGCTTTAAGGACCACAAGCCTGCCTTGTAATCCGAGGACACGGGTTCGAGCCTACGTAGGTTCCGGACGACCCTCGCAGTATCCTTAACTCACCCGCGACCGGTGGTGGTTGCGCAGCAGCAAAACATCGGTACTCTGTACCGGCGTATTGTTGATTCCTTTTATTTTATTTTACACCCTACCATTATGTGAACAGGAAACGTTCACTAACCCATACACCTACCTGGGCACGACATACACTGGTTTTTTCAGCACTGCTCTCGATCGACACACGACCGAATGTGCTGTCTAGATATTCACAACTCACGAAAAAACATTAATCAATATTCCTAAGAGAAGGTGTTTATTGCTCTGTCCTCTGGATGAGACCGAGTTGACAGTCTCTTAAGAAGTACTATTACCTGTGCGAGCTAGTGATATTGCATTGGCTCGAACCTTTACTAGGAAGATCTCACCTAGACAGACCGGACTCAAATTATCGTTCAATGCATCTACCTTCTTCTCTGTACTTACGGTAACAAGTACCTTGGATGAACTGAGGAAAGGTCGTCTACAAGGATGGCTGAAAACGTTCCGCTCAACATAGTTGCAAATGTTCCTAAGCTACCTGCTTTCTCGATTATTTGTCACGCCGAGTCTCACTCGGATCGTTTAAATTACTTAACAGACAAGAAAATCCTTGCCTGCTGCAGTTTACCGAAGCGTCGGCGGTTCGGTGGCTGAAACCCAGTCTATGTAAACAAACAAATTTCGTGATGAATCGGAATACTTGTAGCTCGGGTGATCTGTTCAGATTTTGTTCTGTTCTCCGAGCTGAACAGTTTCGTTGCAGACGTTTCATCACCAATCGTGGTGACTTCCTCAGTGCGTTATAAGCAAACTGATTTGTTTTGTCGATTCTTACCGGCGAACGAGTGACATTTGAACCTGCTCAGTTCGATTCAGGTCCCGTGATCATTGCTAGTTCCCAGGGTGGGCGCCGCCTCTTTCGACTCATGTGCCAGATGATCCACATAAAATCTTTTCTCGCAGCTGCCTGTATATCGGATCTAAATCGATGCGTTGGTTTATTGAACTGACTGTAGAAAACCAGGCTTCAAGGAATTCTCTTCCTCTTTTGGTCTCTCCTTGTGCACGGGGTTCATTTTCCTCCCTGTGAGTTACGCATGCCGGCGCACCGCCTCCTGCGAAGTGTGTTGCTTACGCGTCCGGTTTCTCTGTCCCTCTTTTCTTCCTGAATATGTGTTTTGGAAACTATTTATGGAAAGGATAAAGTCGTCTTATAATCGAACCTAGCATCGCATGCCAGCACTGGTTAATGCACAAACAGGCACATCTTCTTCCGAAATGTGCTTCACACTTTCGTAGCACAAGACTCTGGCACTTGACTGGCTCCAGACACTACCAGTTCTCACTGACAGTCGGCGGTCTTTCAACTTGTTTTTCTTCGAAGCTGTACCACCCCGACAGGATTACTGCTCGAATTCGATTGGCTTGATTAACCTTTCAATGTCTCAGCTGCCACTGGAAGCTGCGAGATTTTACTTTGTTACACTGTGGTAGGTTATGCAATCTTGGGCGTTGGTCTGCGATATTTCTACAGTTATTGGGGGACATTAGGATGTTACTCGTCCGTGAGCACCGGCGCCTTCAAAGTGTTATTAGTAGCCCTCGTTCTTACTTATCCACTCGTCTTTTTTTCTCTGTATGGTTTGACTTATCTCTACAATTACTCATAGTCCAGCTGCTGAACTCGATGTTGCCTTTCCCATCCTGTTTGGTCTAGTTCGCTATTCTTTACAATCTTCTCATATGCCTCTAGAAATTTTCCAACACCCCAGAAAACTCATGCAAGCCGCTGGCTTGTACTCACGCTTTTTCCTTATTCAGTTGACAATGGGCTAGCATTCAGCCTGAAGCTATTGGAAAGCCTCTACTTTTGCTCCATTGAGATGCGGAGGTTTACTGGATGGCACTATCCAACGAACAGATCCCGGTGTCTATTGGCACTTTGTATCGGGCCATGTTTGTCGGTGGAAAGGTTGAGCACATGCGAATTGTTTTTACTCTCTGATGATCATGGTTAGGAGTCTACTGCACCACACTATACCGATTAGCAGATCTGGTGGCGTGCTCCTCATCCACATATCTTATTCCTGGAATCTTTCCAACTCAGCGATAGAATATTTTCTCTTTTACTTGATGATAAACCGAAATCTCTCATGCATGTCTCCCCTGTCCTAATTGTGGGGGAAATCCCATGCTCAGATCATCCACCGTTAAGTATTTCGTTGTCCCTTTGTTCTAAAATCGTCCTTCGCTTACGCACGTTGGTAAAACATTTCATAGTCAGAAAACGTCCTTTTGATACCCTCATGCTTAAAGTGTTATCCGTACCCTCGCCTTAATATTTAAGTTTCTGACTTCATGCATTATCCTCCATTAATACATTTGTCAACTTTCCTGGACTTCTTCCAAATAACCATGCTTTACTGGTGCGATCGATAAAGCACATTACTAGATGCAGCGATTCTTCTAAAAATTCTCTAGTATTTTGTTCATCCTAGTCATCTTGATAGCTGCAGTTATTTTTCTAATGTCCTAAATGACCGATTTCATCCACTGTACAGCGATCAGAATTCAGGGTTTTATTTTCCGGCACTTCATCTGTCGCTTTTGCTTGTTGACCCGAAGAAAGGCACAATCATACTGTGCGAGCGGCTCCTCGAGTGACAGTTGAATATATGGTTCATTTTCTTCTCGCTTATATGCTTTTTTGTTAATATCGTCTTCCGGCACACCCACAAGAGAATTGTTCATGCCGAAAATGAACCCATTTGGGTTCATTAAGTTTGACTTCATTTGAGTCTGCCTCTCTCATTTTCACAATTTTATCCGTTACTTGTGATGTCCTACAGTGGCGATTTCCCAGCTGGCGTATTCGTTCCTAATTGAATGCTCTGACTATCCCCTCTGAAACTGTCCTCATTCTTCTGGTGTTGGCACACGCTCTGTTTTCCTTCCACTCGTCTTACTCCGGTTACCATTTCCCTTGAAATTATTTAGACGAATGGACTATTTCGTTTCAGCTTTGCCCGTGGTTGTTCTCCGTTGTGATGGACGAAAACACCGCACCAGATACTGTTCTTCCTAATCCGGTTTCCTTAATGCTGAAGCAAGTGGGTGCCTTTTTAATTTTCTATCATTCATTACCACAAATGCCTTCATTAATAGCTTAATGTACGCTCATTTGTATACCAAACACGTTGATTATTGTCCATCAGGCTTATAGAAAAAGTCGCATCTAATTACGTATCCTTACTGACTAAAGGGACCAACCTCGCTCTCACTTAACGGCCATCCTTCGTCTCTTCATTTGTTTGCTAATCCGGATCTTTCCACTCTACACGGCCGCATACCTCATGTCGCGTTGGCTGCATACAGCAAACTTAGAGATCTATCGGCTTCGGTTACTACGGTTCTTGCGCTAGTTGAGAACCTCCCTCTGGCTACCCGTACATCTTATATGATTATCCCTCAGCAACATCAACATCTCTGATGCATATATGTGTTAGCAGCAGTTTGTTTCGCCAGCTTCCTTAGTTGCGCGCTTGAGAATGCATCGAAAACATAGAGAGCAACTAGCCTACATACTTTTCGAGACTTCTAAGACATTGCAATCTCTTAGTTTATCCATGAATTGGCGGTTTTTGATGCAAATTGTGACTGGATTCTTCGCAGTAGCTCCCAACTCAGTGACATAAACTGTGGGCTGGCGGTGCAAGCCGCGAGTAGTATCATGAGTTCGAATCCGGATGGATCCGGTAAATACGCCCCACACTCAGCAGCTCAAAACGCGGTCGCCCAGTACATTTATGGGCATGGGTATGACTATTTGGATTAGGAAGCTACTGCGAATAAATCTACAATCTCTTAATTGCTTGCTATGGCTATAGGAGCCCACTATTTTTGATCATTTGTAGAGCTGATGATCCCGCCGTATAAAAAACCTACGTGTCACTACTCGTGGAGGCCCCGTTTACTTGGCAACTATTCCGTGCTTTGCATTTCTGGTCATTGGGTAACATTTTCTGTTCCTTTCGGACAATTCAGAATGAGCGATTAGCATTCTTTCATTCGCGTCGTCACGTACCATGGTTCTGATACTCGGTACTTGGTATATGAGGGACATGAATCCGTCTCACCGGGATGAATTGCTATGTAGGAAATTAGTGGCTGGAATAAGGTTATTGACTTGTAAGCTGAGAACAAATCTGTAGAGATACGAACAATTTTAGGCGTATCTTTATCAACGAATCTCTCTTATTACACTTCAATCCAAACCAATCGCCATGCATCTTGTACGTGTCTGGCGATTCTCAGTGCTAAGATACTCTCTGAATGCAGAAACGTTTACATCGAGACACGCGTCGATGTATTTTGCGTAGCGTTTTGGTGTGACCAGTTTGTCTTCTATTGGGTCTCAAGTCTGCATCCCTTTTTATTTGCCATAACCTTCCGTGCGTCCACTCGCCGGTGTCCGTAACTACATACTTGCAACTGCTATCAAGTGTGATTGTAGATGTGTTTATTTTCAGTGACGTCAGTTCACCGATTTTCTTATAACTACACTGTACATATACTTGTGTCCAGTGTAGAACAGAAGGAATGAAACTGGAATTCAGGTGGACTGGAGCCATGGTTAAGCAGCAGCGGGCACACCCTAATTTAAAATGCATGCCGTTCCTTTGAACAATGCGAAACTTAAATACTAGACGTACACTTGGCACTGGTTTTCGTCGGATTGCCAAATGACCTTAGACAAACTCCGTTTGTGCCTTATCAGATTCTTTGATTATTTTCATGGTTGGTTTCCCCGATTTTGTTTCACTTACCCGTCTGCATTTTTTCACGTTTTTTTGTTTTTCCTTACTAGATGGTCTTTCTTGATCAATAACTTTGTGGCTTGGATATTTCACGTTGCTTTTTGCGGCTTATTGCTTCCGTGCTGTTTTCCTGTCCTGTCCAATCTAGAGTATGATCGTGGATAAACTCACTCTGGAACGGAATGCTGCCGAAGACAAAGCTCATCGCGCCTGTGAAGAGGTTGCCGAGCAACGGAAATTCATCAGTGTTCTTGAGGAGCGATTGAAGCAATATGAGCAGCAATCGGTGTCGGTAAGCTAGTTGACAAATTTTCTCTTATACTTCGGCTCAGTTAACTGCTAAATGCAGTATTCATCTAGACGATTTTTTCTCGCATTTGTATATTTTTTCCCCTGTCCCACATGGTCGTTGGCAGACGGCCCATTACGATAATACTGAACCTTGACTTGGGGCGATGCATTGTTTACCTTCTTGATCCGTTTAAATATACCGAGTGGGACACACAAAATGCCCTCAGATATGCTCATACCACATTGGTTAGCATTTATGAGTCAACATTTTTCAAACTTAGAACATTATTCTACCTGCGACACGGAGTCATGACACGTAACTTACGTCGCAGCTCACAATTCTCAAATAATTTTTTCCCACATCAGTGCAATCATTTTTAAAACATGTTGCTCTCTACCACTATGAGTTTATCGACCTGTAAAAGATACGACCATGGTTTTTGTTAAGGCATCTGATCATGTAACACTGCCGCATGCCCACCTTTATGAAAACAAAACTTTTCGTTCCATTATCTTATGCCACACGTCTTTCCAGCTAATCCTATCTGAACAGCTTCCAATTTTTCCGATCCGCTTATGATCGTTGTCCTGTATACGCTTGCACTGCCATAATCAAGCCTATGCAAACCTGCCCCACATTGCGGATAGTAGACAACTTATTTGTTTATTTACATATTGAATTTCACCCTGAGTCTAATCGACCAACTCGCGGTTCCTTCGGTTGGTGTGCGTTGGACCTCCGAAATCCCCATACACAACAGCGTAATCCCACTTCATCTACCCTTACCATATTCGTGTTCAAATGGTAGAGCTTACACATTTCGCGTCTCTGGTGATACCATTTCCGCGGCGCGTGGTATTTACGTTCTCGGGATCGCTTTCAGTAATCGTGCCATTCGGTTTCGAAGCTCCGTCCATTGTTGACATGTGCCCCCGAACAAATTGCAACTCGTCTCTAGATGAGGGTTCAGACTATTTTTGTCCAGTATCAACTCGAAGATACGTTCTATCTTAGACGAATGATTCGCTGCTTTTTGCAGTTTGCTACAAATGTTTCGTCACCAGTAACGGTGACATCATTAGTGTGTTACATCGTGGTGAGACGCGTAAGTAGCTGTGACTCGGGTAGTCACGTGCATGCGTTTTTATAAGTTATCGTCATTAATCATTTGGGCCGGCAACATCTGAAAATGGCCTCTTTAATCCATGCATCTTGGCTCATCACTCCGCTACGCCCCACACTAATGCACTGATGATGTCACTTTAACTGATAAAGAGGCATTTGCAGCGAATTTGCCAAGCCCAGCGAACAGTTCTTCTAACACATGAACAACCTGATCTACGTCAATTTATCTCAATATCAATACGTTCCATGTGATCAGCACCGCAGATGATGAAATCAATAACCTACTCGGCAGAGTTCTTGGTGGCACACAAACCAGTATTCCGTAACGAGTGTATTTTTGCAAGCTAGGTACCCCGACGGCGTGTTGCAATCGCAAGTGGTTTCGCGTTGTTTTTATGGTTATTTTCCTAGCAAATATCGTACATCACTGCATATGATTGAAAGATCCGTGAGCGCGTTTTCTTCTGCTCATGCCTCACGGCAAGTAAGAGACGATTATTATGGAGTTGGTGAACCTGTGGCTCTACTTGTCTACCTTGAAAAGTCACTCTCGCGATCGAATTCCTCATAAGAGTATTCAGGGGGAGTTTCTGCCTGCTTGCCCTAGCTGATGATGAGCTATTGGAGTGGTTTTGTCCTTCTGTTGATAAAAGCCCTGTTTTCCAAGCTTTCTTCGACAAAATCTTGTTGAAAACGAGTTTACTACATGCAAAAGTGGATATACGACGAATGAAGGCAATAGGGGGTTCGCGATTCACCCAGTTGGTTAGCAGCGGGAGATCGAAAGATTATCTAAACTAGATTTCTTAAGAAAGGGAAACATTGGAACGAACTTTGTGTACTTACTCAGTGGCCGTCGATGATTCACGTGAAAGTTCACCGTTGTTGTATCCTAGGATTGTCGTACCAATTTATATTCCTAGACGAACTAATTTGCCCACATCCCTTGAGGACAGACTATTTAGCTAGCAACTAAACATGCGTGCTCAATACTGATATGGCTTCAGGTGTGTCCTGATAGTCTCCAGAAGCTGGAATCTTATTTGCTCCCGACACGCAGACGGGTACTCACCTTTCTACTTGAGCAGAGAGCCGAGAAAGATGGATTATCCTTCCGTTTCGAACGGAAACATGGTGATTTAGCTATATGAGAATCTGGATGTGTCCATTACGATTATTTTCTCTAATTGATTTACGACAACATTTGTATTGGTGGATTCCACCTAGTTTGTTAATAGACCAACGAAACTAAATCTTTTTAAAGAGCTTAAAGACAATATATCAACTCCACCCAGTCTTAGGCGAAGACGATAACATCGTCATCATGGACCGCGTAATTTTTGTGGTTAGCGGGAGAATCATCGAGAGACTGCAGGCTTATGAAGGTCCGCGTCCAGTCTCAAGATGAAGAGTAAATTGGAAAGGGGATTCCCTTGCCGGATGTCCCCAGTGGAAGCCTGTTGATCCCGTCGAACGTGGAAACAGCAGAATCTTAGTAGGAGGAAAGGTAACTGTACAGTAACGTTGGAGCACCAAAAGTACAGGTGAATGGGAATATAAACCCTGTAACGGGTAGGTTACTGTCCACTACATCTGCTAAGATAGTGATAAATTGCCTTCAATCTGTCATCCTTTCAAGTGGCCATCAATTGTTGTTGATACTGCGATGGCACTTATCAGTTTAACGGCGCTGAATAGATTCCAGATTACAGGTCACTCCAGTCTTTTCGGGGTTAACTGTATCGTTTCGCGGTTTTCAAGCAATCAGCCAGTGAATAAATCGTATATTTCGGAGGATTAGTAGGGGGTTAATGATATAGGTAGAAATTCGTCACATCTAGGCTCGCTCAGACAACCATCACACGCCCGGAAAAGTGCTGTACGGTCATTTCATCCTTTCTGAAATCGTCAGCAGTGCGCATTCCATCCGACCCTCGTAGGGCTGGTACCCGCAATTCGACTGTTACCAGTCCATGGTTGAGATCACTCAGCTACAGGGGACTGCAACAACCTCATGAATATGTCTCTAGATGTGGTATAGCACCACTCACTATCCACTGACTTACACGTTGCTGCCGTGCAGTAGGTTGGAATTTGTAGATGAAAATCGGTTGGAATTTCCTTTTCAGTTAAACATAGTTCATCAAGGGCAGAAAATTAGTAGTGTAGCAGAGGGTGTTGTTTAAAATTAATATCAGGCCAACACTTGCACTATATGTTTGCTTGATCGTTTTCATATATCTCGTAAAACGTGACATATGTATCGACATCACATGAGTATTTAAACATTGCTCTTGCCCTGTTTTCTGTTGTAGTGATTCTTCCTAAACACTTGACAATCAGCAATGAATATATGGGAGTCTGGGGTATTAATTATGCACCAGGCTTCAGTCACCAAAGTTAGTTTAAAACGTAGTGATAAAACGAAGCATATTCTTACTGAGGAAGCCATCTACATTACGTTCGAAGGGAACCTTGGGGATGCATAACAGTGGAGCATTGGAAAAAGTGGGCAAATCTAAAGTGGTGGCTGATTCGGGGACATGGTATCTGATGCCAAGTCAATGAAGTAAGTCTGTAGTGGAAGGCAATCTTAAAAATTTTGCGGACCAACGGTGCACGCGACAGGTTGGAATTCGTTTTGCTGGTTTTATAACAGGGGCTACATTATTCGTTGTTAATACGCGACTCTTCAACTGAGTGGCGAGGATAGCGCGGTCTGAAGTTCCAGAACTGGAGGTCATAATATAGGATCATGTAACACAACGGTCCAATTGCTCTTTCAATGTTACCATTTCTGCTGGACATTTCCGATCAGGAGTGAAGCCTTGTGACAGAGAGTAGGCGACCACTTAGATTGCTTGTTTCACTAAGTTTTCTAATATTTCTTGAGTTGTTGGATACATTACGAGTAACCTAGTCATTTAACTCCTTCTGAGACCTAGTCTCGGTTGATGAAATTGCAGCGTCTTGTGTGTGTGTGTTGGCCCAGGGTCACTGGACAATATAATCTTCCAGCATTGAGTCGTATATCGAACTGCTTTGAGTTAGCTGACAACACACTTGCAAAATGGTGGGTAGTTGGTCAAGCAGTTTGAGAATGACATACTTGACATAATTTTGTCCCTTCAAATGCAGTCGTCATAAGGTTTTTTACTGCATAATGGTCCTGATTTAATCGTGCCTCATCTGTAAGGGGCTCCTCTTGACTACATTCTACCCGGTTACTTGGTGTGCTGATGGAGTGGTCCATAATGACATATGCTTCTGAGGGTACCGAGACCGGTGAGTTAACGCAGTACGCATGAATCTGGATGGGTAATTCCGTTTACCATTGCAAATTTGTTGCAACCATAAGGATCACATGATGTACCGCTTTTGACAATTGTGTTTTGACACTCAGTTAGATTGCTTGCGTCTTGAAGAATTAGATGTACTTGCTGCAGGTTTATACGCTTCAGCATCAAATAATACGATTTTGGCCTTCACTTCAGTCTGATAAGTTGCCGAAATGGCATGCAGAGGAGCTACTCTGGCAATTTTGTTATCTCCTTGACTGAACTGACTGAATTCCCTTCTGCGGATATGTAATTCAATTAATAATCGGCATTCTCGGTACTGACTGTCGGAAGCAGTAATCTGAAGGCCGTTCGAAGCCGACAATAGCTGGCTTAGTCGAACTTCCCTTTTCAGTGTTTTTATGATAGTGTTTTCTGCCCTCTGCCTCTCTTTCGCTACCAATATTGTAGCATTAATTTAAAAATTTCGGAGATGTTTTGACGTTGACCGCATTTTCGTAGCCTTAGAGATTTGCATCGAGTACCTTTCATATTGCCTACCTTGAGTAGGTTTAGTGCAATGCTGCTATTGGCAGT